CGTCTTCACCAAACACTGATAACTACTATACTCTCGTCTTCACCAAACACTGACAGCTACTATACTCTCGTCTTCACCAAACACTGACAGCTACTATACTCTCGTCTTGACTAAACACTGACAACTACTATACTCTCGTCTTCACCAAACACTGACAGTTACTATACTCTCGTCTTCACCAAACACTGGCAGCTACTATACTCTCGTCTTCACCAAACATTGACAGCTACTATACTCTCGTCTTCATTTTCGTCTTCATTAAACACTCAAACCTATAGTACCATTGTTTCTGTTAATTAATCAACTATTATCACTCGCTTGAGGCATTGGAATTAAGAAATGATTTAATATAATTCGTCACATCAATCGAGTATGGAATCAATCAAGTTAGGCATTGCGTGGGTAGAAAGCTGCTTAGTTTGTCCTGATCCAAGACAGATTTTCTCACTGGTCATATCCCTCTTATCAAAACACTACAAGTATTTGTAATTGTTGAGTGTTATTGTTAAGGTTGGTGGCTTTCCAAATTCATCTTATTAAAGAAATGAAAACATATGATTGAATTGTACGCTGTCCTAGTAAGCGTAGCAATTGAAGACATTGAAGTCTTAAAAGAGCGATGTGATTTTTGGGTAGGCTATGAAAAGACGTATTTGCCTAAATCTGATCCAGATGCCAAAATATGTCGATCTTTGTGTGACATCATATTCACATAATATGAAGGAGTGTCAACAGCTGACCTATTTAACACTGATTTTTTTTATTTTTAGCCAAATAAAGACATTAAAGAGTTGCAATCCTTCGAGTCACATTGGTGTAAACCACGGAAAATATTTAGGTTAATTGATAGCCGAACTGAAATGGCTATCGCTCTCTTTGATAATATTTGAAATTGACCAACTTTAGTTGCCAAGATCTTCAGCAAGATTGAATCTAGTTGTCAAGCTGTGGACTGTATTTAGACTCGATCAATACTTGCCATCAACACCATCAAATTCTCATTAATAAGGTGTGACTAGGAGAAAAAGACGAATAGTAATGGAGTGGCAACTTAATAAGATAAATAGCTTGGAGTTCAGCAACTCTCAGAACTTTTTCCCTAATAAAATGAATATATTAGAATGAGCTACTCATTTCTCCATCCATTTTCCCAGCCACTGAATACTGTATTCAGTTATAATGAAGTTAGTCGGTATATTATGAAAGCGTCGCTGGTCTTCAAGAAATTGTCTGTTCTGCTTCAGATTGATGTTTATGACTTTTCACTACAAATTAATAATCAGAAGGAGGGAGAAAACTGACATATATGCAGCAAAACAATTAATCAAAAGGGGTAAAAACGTCCATCATTCAAATTTTCTGGACTTTTCTAGATTTGTTGGAGTGATTCAAGTAGTGCAATTGCTACCTTTTCGTATGTGCCTTTTACGCAGTGCAATTGCAAGGGAATATATAGGCTTAAATGAAAAAGATTTAGCACATTCAATAACTTGTAAAACAACTAAATGTCATTGGCAAGAACCATCTGATGGACATGAGATATGGCCCCGAGTTATTAATGAAACGACGTGCTTTCCGTAGTGTTTTTCGCTTGTGCCGCTGACAAACTATTTGTATAACTATGAGTATTTAGACATCAGACACAATAACTGTTACATGTTTTAGTACTTTCTAAAGGTAATATGATAAACAGAAGAAAGTAAATAAACAGACCTATTTATGAAGTAGAATATATCACGAGAACTAATTTGTTCTAAACATAAGTTGCATGATTTTCTAATAACTTCAGCTTGTTCATGATGCCTCAATTACGGTTTTTTGGTAAGATGAGATGAATTTTATTCTTCAGGTCGGGAGGTGAAATTGGTGTACAGGTGCATAATTTGCTTTCACGCCCAAGTTTCTAAATCATCATCGTTCACCTATTTTTGTATAAATGTTGTGACTAAAGATATTCTCGAACAGGTGGCATTCATGTTAGGTTCACACCTTATATTCAGTCAAACCTTCTATACAAATTAAATGAATTGAATTTAAATGGAATCTAATTCCCAGTTTTATACTCTCGCCTACAGTGGCTAATAGTTTTTCGGTAAAACAGCGACTTGGCCTACAATGCGCTTGTTTGCTCTTGTTTGCTCTTTGTAGTCGGACCCATTTTTCGATATGAACTAGTATCGGTACCTTTAAGTATGAAAATGTAGACGAATGTGTTATATAATGTACTCGTGTTAACGTTAAATTCGTCTATAGCCTTGCCATTTGATAAATGACTGATATTTAATAACAAGTCGTGACAGATTCTGTAGTTAGCATATAAGAAAGTTATTCATCCGACGAAATCCAAATGGGTTTTGTCTAGAAACCTACTGATAATAAGAACATTTCACTGTAGGTGCACCTGTACTCAACACGAGTCTTAGGACTACCGCAATATAGTTCTAATAATATGATTTCCATGATTCAATAAATTACATTGAACGAGTTGTGTTTAATGTCTATAAAACTCAAATAATAGATAATGAAAATTGAACTAATGTTAGGTCCAAATTGAAATTATTTTTTTCCAAATTGTATAGGTATTTCTATCTACAATCATCAAATATTAAATGACTTGTAAAAAGCTGCTAGTTGTTCCGATAGGACTGAGTGCTTCGACTGCAACTGTCGAAACCTCTGTTAATTGTACAACAATAAATTGTAACAAGAAACTATAGACAGGGCGATTCAAACCTGCCTTTTCCTCACAACATTTGAAAATAAATAACAGTTAAGCCAAGATAAACATACTTAATCAGATTCTTAGTTAATCTAAACATAGGTGGCAAAAACAACCACATTCTGTCATCAACTAGGAGAATAAGTGTTAAAAAATTAAACAAATATTGAAACAACTCAATGTAAAAAAGTAAAAGAATATATCAAGACGTAAATAAGGCATAAGAAATATAAAGACTATCATAGATTAAAAATGTATTATATTATTGTAAATGAAATAATTCCAATGTGGGATGGCGCAGAACCAGTCCTTTATGTAAGATTAAAAGTTATACTATGCTTTTCACCATAGAATGATGCAATACCAAGAAATGAAAATACTGCTTGGACAAGTCTTCATCTCATTGGTCATTAAAATGAACCATGCCATTCCACTTCAATTACTGCATCAGAAACATTTTTTAAAAACATTAGATTAAAGCAATGGTGCAACTTAGTCTCGTAGGCTTTCTATGGACATTATTATGAAATATTCTTGACCTTGCCAACCGGTCTCCCTAGAATCTGGCATGTGCTATCAGGATTTAGCATAAAAAGGCAAATGACATAACTGGATGCAGGACAAAATTGATACTTTGGTCAATTTTTTTTGAGAAAAAAAACGGAGTTCAAATGTCAAATTGCAACCTAGGTTGACACCTGCCGATATTACTGACAATAAATGAATAAAAAGCGTGGAAAGGAATAAGCACAAGCTTCTAATACATGGTCAGATGGTCTGACCGTCAGGTTCAGTGACCTTCCATGACATGTTCCTGAAAGTAATACTACGTCTCTTTGAAGTATTTATCAAATATTAACGTATACTTTTTTTTCTAATACTTCTATACAAAAGATTAAACAATAATGTAATCATAGCAAAGCACTATTTATTGGATCGATTACAATCATTCAGCAAAAACAAATCGAAACTTTATTGATATCTTGTAACAATTAAGAAGACAAAATGTTCACGCCTTCTGTTTGTTCCTGAAGGTGCGATCAACCAGTACATTAGTTCGAACAAAAGTGGAAACAAAGGACGAGACAAAAGCTACGATATAGCAAGAAAAAGATATTAAAGCTAGTGCAATCACACAACATGGTAATATTGGAAAGGATATCCGGTATATATGATTGAATGATTCCTTTTAAAGGGATGTAATCTCAAATTTCCATCAATAATGTCACATTGGCCTTGCAAGTGAATCAAAAAACCCATTGATACACCAATATTACATGGCTGTTTTATATACATCTATTAAATTTCAGATAAAGAAACAACAACACGTTTATATTTTAATTCAGATATAATTTATGATGTTAAGTAGAGCCAAACTATGTGTACTATTCCCACAATACTACGTCGTCTAAGGGTACTTCCTGTCAAACTAGTTTCTTAAAAGCGTAACCAACTTGAATGGCTTTGCTGTACAGAGTAGCCTGAAAAGATGCGACAACCATAAACCAATGAAAACTAATTCAACATCTTAATAGGATTTAACACATCTAAAAAGAAAGCACATGCCTTGGAATCAAATAATTGTCATGGCCCTAGAGGAATTGAAAGTTGTCAAAATAATAATGAGATTAAAATCTATAAATCGACATATTGATCTTTATAGATATCAATATTACTGTCTGGTTCCATTTCATAACCATTCTTTATATGTACTTAACTTGTGTTACTAAAAATTGTTATACTTAGTGATTTCAAATGTATTGCAATGATCTAAAATGAAATACAATTTTATCAATATAAGTAATATAATTAAAATATTTCATACATGGTCGTATGTAGTTTATGGGGTCCATAGATTTGAAAATCCATGTAAGAAAATGTACAGCATAACAAGCAAAGATCGTTCATATACTCAAAACTTTCATTATGATACAGCAATTTTAATATTAAAAAACGACGTTAGCACATTTTACACATTGACAACATTACTGCATCATAGATCTTCATTGTTATCAAAGAATGTAGCATATCAACAACATTATTATACAGATACATAATAACAACAGCATAATCAACATAATATTATAAGATAACAACCTAGTAACGTTAACATATAAAACAGCATAGCCCAACAATATTTGTTATTATATTTAAACGAGGTTATCCAAAAGAACAACAACTGATATAGTAGTGTATAATAATATAACAGTAGAATATTTTAGCAACATTTCCAGATATATGTGTGAAGTGTACTTAATATTCTAATTATTTTTCTTTCCAGTTATGGTGATATTGTACCTAAAACAATAACTGGTAAAATAGTCGGTGGCGTATGTTCATTAAGTGGTGTATTAGTTATAGCTCTTCCTGTTCCTGTTATTGTCTCCAATTTTAGTCGAATTTACCACCAAAATCAACGAGCTGATAAACGCAAAGCTCAAAAGGTAAGTTCCTTTGCGAAAATTGATTTTACTCTATCTATACCATTAAGTCATGTCAAATATAATAATATGATAAGTCCAATATTCGTACAGGGTAAAAGAAAACCTGAGCAACTCCGCGACTGAAATGTATTGTTCTGTACCATTTGGTTTTGCATGGAAGTTATCTTGATACAGGTCAATTTGAGTATTGCCTTAGAGATTTTACTTGCTGTTGTTTACGAACTAAAATCATTTCAGTCTCACTTTGGAATTGAACCACAACTAGTTAAATAAACGTAATTTTTATGTTCTATTGGTAAAAGCTTATAGGTATTAATGTTTTGTATTCCCTTGTTTCCAGAAAGCACGATTAGCTCGTATTCGCTGGGCGAAAAATGCGAGTGGTGCTGCCTTCCTCAATAGTAAAAAACGTGCCGAGGAAATGCTGTTAGCTCAAGAACAAGGTGTTGAATTAGACGATACTTTTAAAGAACAAGACATCTTTGAAATGCAACACCATCATTTATTAAGTTGCCTCGAGAAGACGACGGTGAGTATTTCAGGTTTTCAATTATGCTATAATATTAATGTAAATCATATCTATAATCGAGTCGTGCCATTAAGTCGTAACGTTGAATCATGTCGGTATCAGGCATCAGTAACTGACTTTAAATAGTTCTTGCAATATCTGAGTCGACAAGAAAATATCTGGGTTGTACCAGCTACTTGAACAAATACACTGATCATTATAGTAAATTGGGACGCTTTCTGGTCAATGCAGCTTCCATCAAACTTCTAAAAATCTGCACAGTGGCCATTTCATTGTTGGCAGTTCGGTTGTCTGGTATGGATTTCATAAAAAATGCATAAGGCAATTATCTTAGAGATAATAAGAACGTCTTGCAAATGTTTCAATTTCATTCCAGTGCATGAAAATGGTCAGTCATTCAGTAACTTCCCTCCTGCATGCTTCCCTATCCTTTAGTATACACGCACCATGTAATCTCTATTTTTCATATAAGCTTTAAAGGCTTCTGCATACCCTTTTCCCTTGCCTGGAATTCCTGACAGTTGATTTATGTATTGACTGTGTGTTTAGGACACTACTTGGCTCGACATATCTAGTACATAAAGCCATTTTGCCTAGAAAGGTTCGTTTCCATCACATAACATGGAATTTGGTTTTACCCTAACAGATGAAATTTCTTCGACAACAGTAGCAAAATAATCAGTTCTATCCACAATGGCTTAGCACCAATATGATACCTTTTGATAATAGCCTTTTTTTATGGTACCTACCTATCTCAAACCTTTCTCATTGCAGTAAACCATTTAAACATTAACAAAAATGTGTACTAACAAAAAAAAAATCTATGACTCTTTAAGTCCGTTTGAAAATGATACGCCGTCATTGGTAGCGAACCTCTGAGGAAACTTAATGTCCCTGTATTATGGTTTGTTGTATGCATATCCAACTCCAAAACAATATTGTGATTTTTGGATCGTTATTTTAGAAAAAAACCTCAAGTGTACAAATGAATACTTAAATTCCAATAAATAAGAACCAGCACTCACTTTTCACCGTGTTTTGTATGCTAGAAGTTAAGTGTCTTATAGTATTTCGTAGCATAACATACTGTATGTTTTCTAATGCTATTTTTTAGCTATCGTTGCTTGCATTTCACTTTCATTTCAAAATTTCACAGTCGTGCTGCTTTTCGTAATTGTGTTGAACAAAAAATTCAAGACCACAATAATTTTACAAAAACGATTCTTCTGTTTTCCACAGAATCAAAATCTGTTTGAGATGGATATGTCATTCAACGGAGCACCAAATAAACCCTCGGAAACCCCACTACCATCACCAGACCCGTCAATGGAGTCTCAAGATCAACGAAGAAGAGGAATTGGCTGTTGTGCTCGCAGTTTCTCACAACATCGAAGATATCTTACAAATAAAGTAAATAGTAGAACCAAGTTTCCCCATAACGCGAAAACATTCAGATAAGATGACCCTGCTACTTCTCTTATCCTTCGTGACAATTTATTTGGGTTGGTGGTTGGCCACTTTTAGATTGCATCAGGGAATGGGTATGGTTTTGTGTACTGTTAGGAGAAATCCATCAAAATATCACAATAAGACTTATCGCAATAATAAAATATCAAAATATTCTATGTTACACAAAAAAAGTTCCCTTTTTGTACCGGAAGAGACTAAAACATGACAACATTGGCCTTGTTCAAATTTGAAATGAAAAGCCACGAAACTCCTTCATCTAGTAGGCCTATTATACAAAAGAGAAGTTCTTTCCATCGGGTCGTCAGGTCCGCTTTGATGCCTGTTACAAAAAAAGTTCTGAAGCTCAACTTTATTTTGATATTTCACTTGACATAATAAAAACAACGGTCAAATCCATTACCAATATAATATAGCAACAGGGTTGTGTTTAAGAACACAAGGTAAGGGGTATCCGCTTCCCTTCCCTATTATCATTTCGACACGGCTATTGTTTTGAATTGACGTTTCTTAACACTTATTAATTATAAATTATAACATTCATTTATTCGCACGTTTATTTTCTTCAAAAAGGCATGGATTGATGAAAATATAAAGCCGATGTTATTGCATGCAAAGGAAACAAAATAAAGTGCAATGATTTCAAAACAAGTACCGGTACTTATTGGCATCTGAAAATGGCATATCTGAAAATATTTATATTTCAGCATCATCTCACGTCCAAAAGAAAATTGGTTTCATATTTTGATCACTTTTGTTAATGATATATAAAAATTATTCATTAATTGTTCTTTTCCTCTTATTTATTATTATTCTTTATATTTATTGTTTACGATTTCATTTTCAGAAGCGAACGTCTGTTGAACATAATTTTGAGCCGCACGAATTAAGTCCATTAAGTGATATTAAAATACGACTTCCAGCTAATAACCGTTCTTCTCGGTCGAGTTTGAATGCAGTAGAAAACACAGCCAATAAAACCAACAATTCTGTGACCGTCACCACGGCCATTGTTACTCTTCCAACATCTAGTACGTCTGAGACTGAATCGGTGCGAACTCAGAGTACCAGTGCCCAGACCCAATCCCCTAATCCAAGCGTCGTGCGCATCTCCACGTTATAACAGCATTGAATCGATTATTAGAATTGTGGACCTTATTGCGATAACATCCTTTCCTATTATTTGATTTTTAAAAGATGAAATTATAGTCATATTGCGATGTATCTATAGTAACTGACGATATGGATGGATGAAAACAGATTTTTTTCTGTTATTATTGAATTTTGTGATGTGTTACCGTTATTAAAACGTCGACACCGAATGAAAATAAAACCAGAAAGTGTGTACTACGTCATATATTTCTGTGATTTACGTTGAATTAGTGACGTTATTCCCCCAGGTGATGCTCAAAATGTTCCTACCCAATTCTGATCATATACTATGATTGGACTTGTATTGATCCATATTAGATAATTTCGTTGTTTATTATTATTATCGTGTTTCAAGGGGAGTGTTCTATCAAGTTCAGTTAGAAACAAATGTATTATAAATCAGGTTTAACGGATTTTTTCAACAAAATATAATAAGAGTTATATTTCATGAGTGTTTTTGAGTGAATGAGATGCGATAAAATCATAAATTCCATAATTTAAAGATGTACAGCTTGGTCCCAATGCCATGGACACTTTTTTTCCTTTTTTAAGTATTTGTGTAAATGGTGACGTGAATGGTAACGTATATTACTTGTATATGATGACGTAAGTGTGATTTTGAATATTCGAGTTTTAGTGCAGTCAGATGTAGATAATATGAACACTATATCAAGAAAATTAAACCAAATTCGAAAGTATCAGGTTGTGGAATCAAAATGCTGGGCGTTAACAATACGAGACGACCGGAAATGGAATAACGAGCAAATCTGTAAGACATTGAAGATGAGATTAAGCAACAAGATGGAACGTGTGTTTGCAATTTATGTAATGGATAACAAGGTTAACCGAACAAATGAAGTTACTTTTACGTGCAATAAAACTATGAAAAGAAACGAAGATTAAAACGCATGTGTAAACATATGCGCATGTGAATGTGCACCAAAATGTTATTAATGCAAAATGATTATGCTTCAAATTGACTTTTTCATACTTGTAATATAATTTAAATAGTTACTTCAGAATAATGTACATATTTTCTATTTACGGTTTTTGCATATCATTCAAATCTTTGTGTGTTCTATTCACAGGTAAATATCTATGACGTCAGTGCAATTCGAAGCCCTTATTCTGTTGTCAACCTGGTACTTCTTAAAGGGTCGTCAAGGGGTTAAACCCACAATCATCGTTTAAAAGGAAATATTTGCATTTTACATGTCAAAAAAAAACAATTTAAAGCCTTTTCTATAAAGAGATATTTGTCTTTTGAAAAAAACCAAGCCACGTAATTTGCAATTCCTTTTACATTATGAAGGTGATTACTGTAAGTCTCAATGACCTCGACTTTGGCCAAGACATATTGAGGAACACTTTGCATATTATATTGATGACGTTATAATATTTGCTCATAGTTTATTAGATATCAACTAATTGACTTTTCTATCATACTATTCAATTTTTTACCATCTTTTGCACTTAAGAACTTACTTTTGGTCTAGCACTTTATTACATAAACTTATATTTGTTTTAACCAATTTTTGAATATTATTAGTATTATGCACGTTAACTCTAAGTTACCATTTACAATGGTAAAGCACTTATAAGCAATATTCGCTGGCTATTTTTTTTGAGTAAATTAAGTCATTATTTGCATCGGTATGCTTTTCTGTCTTGTCTGTGATGTCTTCAAAATCAGAGTTATCCCACATTATCTGTCAATTCTTCTCAACGAAATTTCCTTTGGAATCAAAAATACCATTGCATAATGTTACCTTTCAACTTTTTTTTTCACTCTCCCAGTTGGAAATAGCCTACTTAACTAACTTTTTACTGAACTTTTTACCGAACTCTTCAACTGATAAGTATATGATGTTGGCCAACAGGAAGCTGCAAATAGTAGTAGGCCTATAAAGAAGTTCATTCAATTATCCCTAGCCTATGTTAGAATCGAAGAATTTATTTCAACAATTGTTTTGGTTGTATGTTTCTTGTGATATCTTCGAACCAATCTACTGGCGAACATGAAGCTAATCAAATAACTTGCCCACCGTGTATACCTTGAACTGACACCATGTTATGCCAAAGAAAACATGCAAAAAGTAACGTACATGTTACCAGATACAACATAAATCATTTGCAGTCATAGCACGTGCTCTAAATTTTTCTTTTTGGTTTCAAAGCATTTTTTGCATTTACTTGGGCAAATTATTGTATTTGGCAAATCTAAATGTAGGTTAGTGCTATCGTTGCTATCGTTGTTATCATGCTGGTTAGCATTGTTGTTTAATCCAGTGAAGATCTAGTCAAAATACAACAAATTTACAAACTCCAACAGCACGATAGTTACCGAAGCATTAACCTGTTTTAAGGTGATTGGTCTTTCAATTTGTCTTTCATATGAATGATAGAACCTTCTATGGTGATTGTATAACTCCATGACCTGTACTCTTTCAAAACAAAACTGTCTTGTATCATCAACTATTTTGAATATTAACATGTAGTCCTATAGT